TCACACAAGTTTTGTTGCAACTTACTATATCACAGTAAAATATAATGGCATTGCATAAGGAGAAAATGCTTTGAAAAAAAAATCTTTTGGCCATTTTACTTCTGGAAAATGGTAAATGCATGATTAAAAGAAATCTATTTTGTTATTCTCTTTGAGATTATGAACTTTAGAATAAATATCAAATTTGATTTACTTTCAGGGCAAAATTTGACACTTCAATTGAAGTCCTATTTTATATGTCATATACTCCGTATTTCTTATGTACGAATCAACAAAATCATTTATCACATTTGGGATCAAGTAATAAAATATGCATTTTTTTCTCTCACAAATCTTTCATGCCAAAGTAGTACTAGAATATAATCAAATATGGAGTGTATAGAATCTTTAACTTTCTATACTACCACATCATCAAGAGGGAAATTAAAAACCAAAATATTATTTTATAACCCCAAGCAGAATATAATAATATGCAATTAGATATTGGTCACATAAACTTATTGCAATATATTACCCTGGAGTATATTTGAGTGAAATATGATGACATCTCAAATTTATAATTCTTTTACTAAAGTGATTTTCTTAGCAATGTGGGTAAATGAAGACCTTGAACCATTTTATTGTTTTAGATAAAGGAGTAAAAATGAAACCTCTCTACAATACTTTGTTTCTAATTTAAAGCAGGTAAATAACATAATAATCCAAATTTGACATTTCGTCACTCATGACCATAAATATATCAACGCCATGCTGAGTGAAAATATACGAAATGCCAATCACTATGATTCATCCATACGCCTAATAATCATAATCAAAGGCATTACAAATCAACTCTTTCTTATCTCCTAAAAATAAATCATTATTTGATTTTGTTTAATATCAGGAATAACTTTTTATTCAACAAGTTGAGAGCTATGGTTCATGTGATTACTATTTCTTTGTTTTTTAGCTATATGTGATAATCGATTAATCAAATCAAGTAACATATCACACAAAATAAGGAGAATTAAGAAATCTTAGCTTATGACGGTAGTCGGTGTGAGTCTGAGTGATGGTGGTGATGTTCTGAATAATCACGACCTTTCAACTCTCCATTGTAAACATAAATCCTACTACTCTGAGTTACGTCAAAGTCGGTTCCGTGCTTCTCGGAACGGTGCACAAGCCGTCATCAACGAGAACGTCCCCTCCTTGACGGAATGATGGTGAAAATAGTAGCCTCCGTGTTCGGCCAGAATACGTAGAGGTCTAGAGTCGATCTGGAGTCGTTAGCCATGGCCGCCGTAGTCTCGTAGCTCCGATCCCCTTTGTAAAAAAAACCCTTGAGATTAGATCTATTGAGAAAGAGAGCTTGCGCCGCCTTAAGTCTTCCGTCTCAGAGTTGATCGTGATCAACTGTGGAGCCGATCGGAAGTTTTTCTTCTCATTCGGCGCAGGCAATTTTTTTTAGGGTTTCCAAAGCTTTCGTGCTGATAACGTGTTGTAAACTCAGTAATTCATTCATCATATACGGGGGTATTTATACATACATGGGAGGAGGTATAGTCTAGGTCAATAAGGAAATAAGATATTCTAAATAGAATAAGAAATATATCTGCCATATTTAACAACATCGTATTTTATTTTATTTTTATTTAAGAAAAATATCTCATCATTTTGGTTCTTCTTCAAATAAAACAAGGGGGTTAAGTTTTGTCTTCCATCAAGAAAACTTATTGTGGTGGTGGGGTAATATATAGAGAGCATTCGTATATTTGGATGTATATATCATGTATAATTTGAGTCACTTTTGAAAAAGAGTGAAGAATTACTAGCACAAAGAGAAAATATAGATTCAGACGACCACAACGACAACGACTAGTATCCTCTACCGTGACAACGCTCCTCATATTCGTGCATAAAAACACCAGTGACGATTACAATTACCATCTCCTTCAATACCCTCGAATCCCTGGAGGCGTTGAAGAATTGATGTAGTTGTGATGAAGAACTTGCAAAGTTGCAAATAAGAATTAGACAATAGCTGTGTTTGGAAAATGACTTTTCAGATAGCTTTTGTTATCTTTGATTGACTTTAGCTTGTTTGACTTATCGAATTGCCAAAACCATTGTTTAGTTAATGGTTTTTTCACTTGACTTTTTTATCCGAAATGCCAAAATCTAAAAAACTAAGGGGAGTAGATTTTGAATTTGGCAGCACAATGGTGGCCAGCTTAAGAGATGGTGAATTTGGCAGCACTCTAAATTGTAATGAATATTACTTCATATGTTATTTGTAAATGACATTTTGTAAAATTGTAATGAACATTATATAGTCTTCAAATATGTATACACATTTTTATAATGGGAATGTTTTGAATAAATCTCAAATTAAATGTGCAAAATGAGTCATGTGTTGCTCGCTCAACGGGTGTATAATTAAAATAAAGAATATGCAAAATGAATTACTGCTAAACAAGTACTCCGTGGTTTACAAAATGAACGTCAAAACTCCCTTTATTTTCAAAAGTTATTAGTAAAACCCTTGTAGCTTTTAAATAGTGCACAATTGTCACCTCTTGCCTATTTTTAAACATGAAATGACACTTCTGTCCTGGGTTTTTCTCTATCTTCAAATTTCACTCTTTTATTTGCATTTTTTGTTATATAAATAAATAAAATAAAATATACGCCCTATTTTTCAAATTAAATTTTTTCATTTATTTAATTTTCAAAAATATATTTTTATTAGAAAATGTTTAAAAAATGAAAAATTAGAAAATGAAATAAAATAAACTTTTTCATTATAAGTAAAAGTAAAATAAATAAAATAAAAAATTAGATAACATATACTCACTCTATCTCTAATTAAAAATTCTAACTTATTTGTTTTTTAAAAGTAAAAATATTTTTTAAGGACTTTAAAAAATGAAGAACAGAAAGATGAAATAAAACATGGAGTTAAAGAAAAATATTGTTTTTTATATTTTTATTTATTTTCATTACATTTTTCAATTATTATTTTTACTGTGTATATAATATTTTATTATTCATTTTCTTTTGTAACATTCTCTAAAAAAATCTTTTGTTTTCAAAAGTACATACATTATGAAAAAATCCATTTTGAGATGGGAAGTGTATATTTTATTTTATATATTTGTATAATAAAAGAAAATAAAATTGAGAAAATTCAAGATCAAGGAAAAAAGGGTATAAATGCCATTTTTTGCTTTAAAAATAGGTAAGGAGACATGTGTGCTCTGTTTAGAAACCATATGGACTTTATAAATAACTTTTGAGAGCAGATGAGATTTTGAGGTTTTTTTATAAACTAGAGAGGGCATCCATGCTATTAGCCCTACATAAATATTCTTATAACAAATTTGATAAATTGACCCAAGGGGTGTTATATGTTTGAAAAGAAAAGATTGAAACTTTATTTAGGGTCCGCTTGAAAACTAGAAAAATGCTTGCAAGAAAATGTTTTTTTAAAAATAAGTTATTATCCAGAAATCATTTTCTTATATAGTGTTTGGTCAGAATTATATATTTATGATCAGTTCATTTCTAGAAAATGGTTATTGCAAAAAAGGGAAGCACACATTAACCTATTCAGATACTAAGTATACACGAAGTAATCTCTTCACATCCTTAACATATTCAAGCCCAAATACAATCTAGCTAGGTATGCAACCCAAAGATACTTGGCTGCATATAGAGACTTAGACTTGTTGGTTTGAGTTGTAAAAACCAAGTTAGATGTTGGAAAAAGTAGAAAAAATTGAAAGAAATTAGGACTTGAAAGAAATGGGAAGAAGATGGAAACATTGAAAAAATGAAGTGTTAAAATTTCACTTAATTAAGTAATCATCCAAATAAACATGTAAGAAAACTAATTTTCGATAAAGAAAATTCATCTTTGTCCGTACTGAAGGTGGTATGTTATAAATTTAGATATATGATATTATTATTTTTTCACCGTATGTAAATAATTTTTTCTCACGTGAGAGACAAAAATTACAAAAATAATAGGGAATAAGATGAAACTAATTTAGTTCTAGGCCTCGAAAATAGGGATTGCACAATGAAGATGTGGGGTAACAATGATAGGGTCGGCGACGATGAAGATGAGTATTGAATGAGCAACGAGGAGCCGAGACCGAGAAAAGAAGCGGAAAATGACTGTCGGAAAATTAATCTGAAAGTCAAACTCCGAGAATAAGGGTAAATTTTCCATTTAATCAGGAGTTCATTTTCTTTTGACTCTATTTTCTTATCTTGCCAAACGCTAGAAAATGGAGAAAATAATTTATCAAACGGGCCCTTACCTCATCTATATTAAACTATTCGGGTCGAATCTGAAAGAACTTTATGATGGGATTCATCTTCTTTTTATTGTATAAACTTCAAGGCCTATTGTAGTCTTTGCTGAAATCGGCCCAAATGCCAAATACCCAATAAGGTGCCCAACAATACGGCCGAACCGATTCGCAATGTATGTGGCCCATACATTAAAAATTGTCTTTTACCAAACATCCTTCATTGTGTTGTCGAGATTGAAAGGTACCCAAAACACTAGTACATAAACTTAACTACTCCGGGAATTAGATAAAGATTAGGTCTGAAATTTGGGAAAATGAAGTTTTTTAAAGAAGAAATAGAGTGTTTGATGGTACGAATTTAAAGAAACACAAAATATTATTTTTTTAGAATGTCTGAACAGGCGAAACTCGAGATGACACGATTCTGCCATGTTAAACATTTGGATTAGGGGTTGACACGGTACGGTTCCGGTACTGCCACCCCATGTCACCGGAACCGTCACCGTGCCGGCCGGTACCGGTTCCGGTACCAGACCGGCCGGTTTCGCCCCTCCCCTTTTTTTTTTGCTTTTTTTAAAATTTATAAGTATAAAATTTTAAATTTGCAATTATTTAAGGAAAGAATGAAGTACCGGAATGTAGTTGTTATCTAAAAATGTAGTTGTTATTTAAATATTTTAAATGAATAATACACTAACTGAAGAACAACCACATTTAATATCCTGACGGTTCAAAAAAAGCGACGAGGTAAAGAACCGTAAAGAAACCCTCGAAGGAGCTTATATATCGCTCAGCTAAAAAAAACTAATTACATATTTACATTAACAAAAAAAATTATAACTTATTCTTCAGAACTCGGACTTCCATCTGTTGTTGCATTCATGTAATGCTCCGATTCGAGTTGGTACGTTGACTCTTGAGCTCGACGTCTTGCCAAGAGCCAATCTTGGTTGCAAACAAGTGTTTCAAGAGATTCAGCGCTAAGACAACTTTGAAAGTCGGTTAGAATGTTGCCGCCAGCACTGAATTCTCGTTCAACTGCTACGGTTGATACCGGAACGGATAACACTTGTCTTGCTAGCATGCCGAGACATGAGAACATGTGTTCGTTCCGCTTCCACCATCCGAGCACGTCAAAATCCACTTCGTCTTCATCGTAATCGCATGGCACACCCTGGTACATAGCAAGTTCGTTGTGCGAGCTTACTGTTGTACCACTTGAACTCGTCGAAGAATGAGCACGCTTCCCTTTCTTTGCAAGAAGCCCACCGACTATTCCGGCAAAACCTTTTTTTGATTTCGGGGTGGAGGTGGTGCTGTTTCTTCTTGTACAGTGCCGTATAACCCTTGATANTTATAAATATCAGGAATGTACAAATAATAAGAACACCATTTTTGTATCATAGGAGAGACATATGGGTACAAATCTGGATCAGCCTTACTTTCACGAAAACATGTTGCGATTGTAACGCACTCTTTTAAAAATGTATTTGTAGTTGGTTGGTAAACATGAGAAAAAGTAAGAGTTGCGTTATTAAAAACTTCTAATACGGCATTCAATTTTTCAACAAGTACAAATTCAAAAGGATCAATGATTATACGAAGTTCATCACTAAAAAATTCAGCAAGTTCCTCTTTATATTTTAGAATCTGATGAATCAATTTGTATGTACTATTCCATCTAATGTGGATATCTTTTGCAAAAACTATTTCTTTTCTACCTTTAGACTTACAGAAAATCTTCCATTTTTTCGAAACAAGACGAGCCCCCCAAATTCTTTTAATTCCTTCTTTAATATTCGTCAAAACTCCGCCCATAGCTTCTAGTCCCTGTTGAACACATAAATTTAAAACATGACAGGCACACCGTTGATGCAGAAATCTACCCATAGCCGTAGACGGTGGGCAAATTTCTCTAAGTCTAGGAATGGCTGCAGTATTATTAGTAGCATTATCAAAACCAAATGAAAACACTTTGTCACATAAGTTGTATTCCCGCAGAATACTCTGAAGCAATAGGAAAATATTTTCAGCAGTATGCTGTTCATTGAAATCACGAAATGCAAGAACACGTTTATGCATAATCCAATCACTATTTATCCAATGACAAGTAACACCCATATAAGACAAATTATGATAAGTTTCACTCCAAATATCAGAACAAATAGCAACACGAGAATTAAAATTAAGAAAAAAATTTGCCAAATTTATTTTTCCATTTTTATACTGACGAATAATTTCTCGTTTAATTGTTTTTCTTGAAACACCTCGTGCTTGAGGGTTTAATGACTGTTGACAATAATCAATAAAACCAAGTTTCTCAGAAAACATGTATGACAAATTTTCTTCACAAATCATTTCGGCCATTTTTTGCTTATTTTGCTCGTCGCTATAAGCAAAAAGGCCGCCCTTACCTCTGTTAGCAAACCGAGAAATTTGGGTTTGCACTTCTTATCGTCCCTTCTTTTTTGCCTCGTATTTGGCAAACTCCACGGGATGCCTCGACCTTAGGTGTTTTTCCGGACCGCTATAACCGCCGGAGACTCCCATTTTTATGACGGTCCCACAATGTTTACAAGTTCCATAAACTACGCCATTTTTTGTTTCTTTGTCAAAATGATAAACAAGTAACTCTGATTTATATTTTTTTACCTTTATCCGGACCTCGAGAGATCGCGGGCTCACCTGCCTCCACGTCGACGTTGTTGCTCTGCGGTGTAGGCTCATCGTCCCCGTCCAGATTATCCAGATTTGCTTCATCAATATCTTCGAATACACTATCGTGGGGAGATTTGCGTCCCCTCTACCAGAATAAATCTGGTCGAATTCTTCATCCGTCATAGCTTCTCCAATTAAGTGATCGGGGATAGTAGGAAAGGAAGAGACGGAGTGTCTTCCTCGAGAAACGCGTGAGGTCAAACCGTCGGAGGTGACTTTTGCTTTGCCTCTACTCGAACTTCGGTTCACGGCGCCCATATCCACAGACCTTCTACCGGACTCTCTCGACATTTTAATATATATATATTTTGATATAAAAAAATAATATATTAAATTTCGAAACTTTAAAAAAAATTCGAAATTTTATATATAAAAATTTCGAAAATTTCAAAAAAAAAATAGAGAATATATTTAAAATATATATTATATATTTTTTGATATTAAAGAAATATTAAATTTCAAAAATTTCAAATAATTTCGAAATTTTTTATATTAAAATATAATATATTTAAAAAAATGTATAAAAGAGATAATAAGATATTAAGATTGAGAAATTAAAATGATAGATTGGGATATTGAAATTTGAGAGAATGAGAGAATAGAGATTAGAGAGTAAGAGAGATGGATATGGATTGATGAGTGTGATTTTTTTAGAATTTAGAAGAAAAAACTAGTATTTATAAAAAAAATTAACCCCCCCCC